AATGACCAACTCCTTAAATTGCCTAATTTTCCCAGACTCCACATACACCACCTGTACGTGCATCAGTGTGTTAGGCCTAGGCCCTTATGCTGACCATCTGTACATGTCATCCAGTTTGTTACAGTCCCTCAGGTGGTCAACTCAGAGATTCTACTGTATTTACTTTTATGTGTCTGTAATATATATTTTTCAGGATTTTTTTTTTAAGTCTCTGAGAATTACCACCAACATTTTACCAATGGTTCTCTTTGGATGGACAAAGAAATTAGGGATGTTTTGAATTTTCTTCTTTGAGCTCATCATTTTTTCAATGCCCAAAACAACTGTATGTATATATATTCTTTTAAGACTAAAGCCTAACATCAAATTTAGGGGCAGTATTGATATTCTTCCTAGGTCTCTACAGTATCTGATTTCTTTACAGTGAAGATAAATTTTATATATAAATTTAAATATATGTTTTAAAAGAAAGTGGTATTTTGTTACAGACACTTGAAATTTTGTCCATTATACCAGCAATTATTTCCATACTTAAATTTGCTAAAATAACCAGGAGGCCGGTCCGGTGGCTCATGCCTGTAATCCTAGCACTCAGGCAGGCCAAGACAGAAGGATCGCTTGAGCCCAGGAGTTGAGCAAGTAGAGAGACCAGTATCTACTGAAAGTAGAAAAACTAGCCAGATGTTGGAGCAGGCACCTGTACTCCCCACAACTGGAAGGCTGAGGCAAGAAGATATCTCATGCCCAAGAATTGAGGTTGCTGTGAATTATGATGTCACCGCACTCTACCCAAGGTGACAGAGTGAGGTTCTGTCTCAATAAATAAATAGATAATCCGGAAGTCAGTTTATAAACACTCTCTTTGGAGGCGGACCCTTCCTGTCCCACACAATTGATGGTGACCTCTGTTTTACTCCCTTTCACTGCCTTGCTGCCCCCACCTGTTGGTCTCTGAACAGGGAAAGGTCAGAGAGAAAGGAAGATTAGTCTCCGGCCCATTGGCAAGTCACAGTGCCTGCTCTGTTGACAGCACTTTTGGTGAAATCATGAATTACAAAAGCCCAAGAGTAGAAATCTTGAGTCTACAACAGGGGTGAATGTTTAGTGCTTCCCGAGGCACAGTCCCAAGCTCGTCCCCATGGCGACACCGGCTGCAGGCCACATGGAACTCTGTGCACCTGGAAGGGAATGGGCGTGTGACGCAGCAGCCGTCGCTTAGGGACGCGTTCTCCGCATTCAGACCTGACCACCTGGCTCCCAGCCGGGCGCTGAGCCAGCCTGGCCTCAGTTTCCCCATTTCCAAAGGAGAAGCCATGCTGTCCAGTTTCTGGTTCCTCTCCAAGCACACCAGCCTCTCCCTGGTGTCCTTGCGCGGCACCCGCGGCGCCTTCGCGCTACTGCCTCGCTGGGGCCGCGTGCTGCCCTCTGGCCCCCGGCTGACCGCGCCCTGCCGCCAGATGGCTGCAGCCTCCTCCTGGGATCCTCTGGGACCAGCAGCCACCAGCTCCCGGGTGCGCCAGAACTACCACCCTGACTCCGAGGCCGCCATCAACCACCAGATCAACCTGGAGCTCTATGCGTCCTACGTATACCTGTCTATGGCCTATTACTTCTCCCGAGATGATGTGGCCTTGAACAACTTCTCCAGGTACTTCCTTCACCAGTCTCGGGAGGAGACGGAGCACGCGGAGAAGCTGATGAGGCTGCAGAACCAGCGAGGAGGCCGGATCTGCCTGCAGGACATCCAGAAGCCCGGCCAGGACGACTGGGAAAGCGGGCTGCACGCCATGGAGTGTGCCCTGCTCTTAGAAAAGAACGTGAACCAGTCATTGCTGGAATTGCACGCTCTGGCCTCAGAAAAAGGTGACCCCCATTTGTGCGATTTCCTGGAAACCCACTACCTGCACGAGCAGGTGAAATCCATCAAGGAACTAGGTGACCACGTGCACAACCTGGTCAGGATGGGGGCCCCGGACGCTGGCCTGGCAGAGTACCTTTTTGACAAACATACTCTGGGAAATGAAAAAAAGCCTAACTAAACCGGCCGTCCCGGTACTACCCAGTGCCTTTCACGACTGAGAGTCAGCTGTCTCCGGCCTCCCTGCCCTTGAAACTCACCTCTATCTTTCTATTCATCCCGTTACACTGTTCCTCCAATAAAGTGATTTGTTTAAAAAAAAAAAATGTTTAGCCCATGTTAACAAAAGCTTGTTGTCAGCATCAAGGTAATTTTGCCAGCCTCGAAGGTACTACCGCATGAAAAGAGCTGCAAAAAAACTACTGAAGGGAGGTGCAAACTAACTTTCTCTGGGGCCAAGTGTTACTGTAGAGCATGAAGCGACCAAAATTCTGACATTCTCTCTTTTTTAAAATTTTTTATTAAATCATAACTATATACGTTAATGCATTTATGGGGTACAATGTGCTGATTTTATATACAATTTGGAATGCTTACATCAAACTAGTTAACATAGCCTTCACCTCACTTAATTATTGTGTTAAGACATTTATACTCTACACTTAATAGATTTGATATGTACCCTTGCAATATACAACATAGGTGTGGTCCCACCGATTACCCACCATCTGTACAACCTCCCCTGCTCCCCTCCCTCTCCTCTTCCCTCCTTCGTCCTGGGCTATAGTTGTGTTTTATCTTTCATATGGAAGTATGGGTGATTAGATATTGGTTTCATAATAGTGCTGAGTACATTGGATACTTTTTCTTCCATTCTTGAGATGCTTTACTAAAAAGAATATGTTCCAGCTCCATCCATGTAAACATAAAAGAGATAAAGTCTCCATCTTTTTAAGGCTGTATAATATTCCATGGTATACATATGCCACAATGTATTAATCCATTCATGGGTCAATGGGCACTTGGGCTTCTTCCCCTTACAACAAAAATATTTACATGAGAATGTTTATTGCAGAATTCATAATTGCCAAATTCTGACATTCTCAATTCAACAGTACCCATTATTTTCACCACCTTATGAAAATCTAAGGCAGACAAATGGACAAGAAATATACAAATAACTACCAGAGAAGAATTCGTATAATACTGTAAAAGTCGGACAGGCAAAACTCTGTGACAACTTTTACCTTTTCTCACTGTGTATCAAGAACCTGCTTTCTAGAGATAATCTGTTTTTGAAAAGATTTTATAATCAA